CTACACGTTAAAATTCAACGTCAGTTGTGACGAGTTGTGATTTAGGTAGCGCCGTTTGTGATGACAAAACGCGAATGCGCGCAGCCAAACAATCGAACTGAGTGCGAAGGCAACAACAAGTACGAAGGATACTGTATCGACCTGTTGAAACTGCTGGCCGATCGTATTGAAGGCTTCAACTTCGAGGTTTATCTGGGTGAGAAAACCGGCTCGAAACTACCTGACGGCAGTTGGGACGGTATGATGGGTGATTTGCTCACTGGAAAAGCTGATGTCGCTGTCGCCTCACTTACAATCAACCAGGTTAGTCGACTTGTTAAGAAGTAGGTGTTGAGAGGTGCGTTTGAATGAGTAGCACTGTCCACGCTGGAGCAGAGGAGGCACATATTCAGTAGCCACCTTAACTAGCCTCTTCACAGCTAGAACCTCGAGATAGGTGAATATAATTTTCTGAGAGCGCGAGTCGCCTTCATAGTTTGTCAAAAACTGGAATAGAAATAACGTCTTTTGGATGGAAGGCATTTGAAGGATTCCTTTGGCTGGACCTAGGATTACCATAATGAGGATAAGGACTCTGTCCAACAATAAAAGTAGGGGAAGGAAAGTCCGGGTGAGTGAACCGATTTCCTTGTGCAAAAAGGGCGCCTTGCATTGCGGTTATTACGGAGTTGCACAAGAAAACGTTCCTCTCATACCCGAAGTCTCAGGGCACGTCACGCGCTTTGGAAAATTCTTGCAAAATTACATCCCTTCCACTTCTTCCTTAGGTACAAACACAACTTATTGACCGCAACGCCAAAAAATTTGCTGTTGAGCAGGAGGAGGTAGAGCTATCATCCCTGCGAGCGAGAGGGCGTGTGAGGGGGGTAGGTGAAGTGCAGTCACGGGTGCCTTTTCCACCAGTTGTTGCAGCCTCATGATAGCATCTATTGGTGGAAAAGGCCGCAGTGGCTGCCTTTTATCTACGCCCACTCACAGGCCATTTCGTTTGCAGGGATACTAACTGTGTATAGCACGCAAGAAAACAAACAAACCATCGAATAGTTCTCCCTCAAGTTGGAATACCAGCCCCTTCCCTAGCAAATGAATACGACCTCCTCCTCCTTTTTTGTGACTTTCACAGCGATGAATGTGCTTCTGATTAATTTCAAGAATCTCTAAATTTTATATCACCAGGTTTTCAATAAAATTTGTTAAGGAGCGCGAACGAGTGGTGGACTTCTCAAAGCCGTTTATGACCACTGGTATTTCCATCATGATCAAGAAACCGGACAAACAAGAATTTTCAGTCTTTTCATTCATGCAACCGCTCAGTACTGAGATTTGGATGTACATCATTTCGCCTATATTGGTGTGAGTTTTGACCACGCTCTCCTGGCATGAGATCTGTTACGGAATTAATGGTTTTGTTTAGGTGTCAGTAGTTATTTTTCTGGTCTCGCGCTTCTCACCTTACGAGTGGAGGGTTGAAGAGACAGCTCGAGGCGGATTCACAATTTCCAACGACTTTTCAGTGTACAATTGCCTTTGGTTCACACTGGCTGCTTTCATGCAGCAAGGAACAGATATTCTACCGAGGTACCCGTTATCTATATACAATATTCTACAATTGTCTAGGCACATGAAGTGAAGCATTTAGGAATAAAGCTAGGGGAGCTTACTGGCAAGCCGATAATGGCCTAAATTACAGTGTATAGTCAGGAGCCTTAGGGCCTGTCAACAGGCATGGGTCTTGACGCGGCGCTAGCTCGTTCCCCATTGGTCGTTGCGGCTTCGATCGTTCAACGGGTGGCGGGAGCGGAGCCGACGCGGTGTCAAAATCACGCGCCGCTGACGCTCCCCGACTAATTACAGTGACAACGACTACAAAAACTCGCAGGAAAGACTGACTAATCCCAAAGAAGTACTGATCCTGTTAGCTTTTCGTACGACTCTCTGGCAATGCCTACTATGTCATTCGTTGTAATTTTTCCCAGTAGAAACAACATTTTGAGTGTGTAGTCCACACAACCTCTTGGAGAGACCTCTCATAAGTTCTAGAGAAAAAGGAAGACATCCTGCGCAAAGAGACATCAGTAGGTATTTTTTACTTGTCTCGGTGGGATAAAAATATATAGCTTGTATTTCGCCGTCAAGAGGTGGTGTAGTGGTAAGTGGAACGCCTACTAAGAGCGCAGTCCGAGAGTCAAATCTCGGATCGGTTCCTTCTCATACCGGCCAAGCCTTCTACCCTTTGGACATGGTAAATATGCACCAGATTTGTTTGGTGCGAATAAGAGCAGTGACTTGTACGTTGACTGGACCCCGACCAAGTCACCGTATAAAGGACCAGATTGCAGTTAATAAGCCTCTGCGATTCAGAATGGAAGTAAATGCGTGCAGCATCCCCAGAGAGGGATAAACGACGAAGATTTTAGACTTGCCTATATCGGAAGCGAAGTGTTCATAATCCAGTTGAACAGTTCCTTCCAGCACCTAAACAAGTAAAAAACTGAGAGCCGTCGCTCGTTGTTGCCTGAATCAACCGGCGAATCCGACTAAGTCTGAGAGTCGTTGGTCGCTTCAGGCATCCAGGTAGACACGGTGTGCATATGAGACTGCATATAGCACAAGGAAACGTCGTTGTGCTTCCTTCACTTTCCGCCTGAAAGGGCAGCATG